AGTGGAAAAATCAGGCGTGGCTGACCACATATGGAGAGAAAAGGGAGATTACCACCCTCTATGGGATCAGGTTGAGATCATAGACAAAGAATACCACTGGAAAATTCGTAAATTTAAGGAATCAGCACATGTGCAAGGCCAAAAAAATCTCCTGAGCTGACCAAGCATATAAATGAATACAATATGGGAACCAGTAATAAGGAGTGCCAGAGAAAAGTGATGATAACAAAAATTGCAATATGAGCTCTGGTAAAATGGTTGCTGAAGACATTAGGTTTATAATACCCAGAAATTCATACACAGATGTCCCCAATGTAAATAGTGTGGTTATTGTTATATTAAAACTGTCATAACATATACAAGATGATATGACAGCCAACCATAAGATTACTTATGGTTGGCACTTTTTGTTATGACACAGACTATGAGTTATCTTGTGCCATCAAGGAGTTTATTCACAGTGATACTTTTAGTGTGAATACAATGTTAAGACTTTAGTTGAAGCTATAAATCAACTCATCATAATTTTCTATTGCCCAAGTTGGCTATTACCAAGATGGAGTTTGAAGTCAGATTTCGTAATTGATCTCTGATAGTCGATATGTTAAATAACAAGACCAGGCTTATCTAATTCAAGCCACAACATGCATGTATGAACTGCATTATTTACACTGACCCATGGGCAAGCATAAACAAGTTTTGAAAGTTGGAATTGGTTGGTATCTTCAGTTCATCATCTGGCTCAATAGTCATATGAAAAATAATTTAAAAAAAAAAAATTCTGGGATAGGTGTTGCAAGTATTATCCTTTTTGTAGCTAAAGCTTTTAAAAGGTAAATTGCTAAGCAACATCTTCAGATGGCATGTGAATAACAAGCGAGGTTATTGCAGGCTGCTCCCATTAATCTCAGTAGATGTAAAAAGCAGATTTAAAGAAATAGAGAAAGGCAAATCCGTTAATTGGGCTTATCTGGCCAATAGGAACAATTTACAGTTTTACCTGAATTTTTTTTTTTTTTTCAAGTAAGGAGTGATTATTAACTGATATGGACTAGTGTCCTGATCTTAATTATATCCAATGTTTTGGTCATCCTACTCTCCAGCCTATTGCAGTTGGTATCCTTCTAGGAATAGTCTGAGTAAGTTAGCGTCTAATAGGGAGAAAGTGGATTTAATAGGAATAGAATTTTTGTAATTGTTGGCTTTCTAAAAGTAAATGTACAAAATAAAATAAAAATTCTACCTATTAATACTAGCAAATAATATATGTAAAATTGTATGATTTAACATATGCAATGTCAATCGTTATCTTGACTTCTGAATTCTTGCTCTTTTATTGCTCTCTCTCTCTCTCTCTCTCTCTCTCTCTGTCCCTAATAGTATTTTCTTCTCATATTCTCTAACAATCAGTAACCACTTGCATCTTAGTGGCTTTATTGCCTTGCTTGGGGTGAAATGATTAAAAAAAAATAAAATAAATAAAATGCCTACACCTGAAATGTATAACTGTGTGAGTCTTTTTTAGGATGAGAAATGTGTATTGGTTGTGAGAGCTTCATTTTGGGAGATGTTAACACATGTATATATCTACAGCGATGAACCAATGAGAAAAAGAGCTAGGCCAAGCCACGCCCTGCGACCAGTGTCCAGAGGTAGAAAAGGGCTTGCTGTTCCTCTTTATATGATCCCTTGATTGATTCTGATTGGCTCAGTAGGAGGCTACATTATGTCTAATTTGACCACAGAAATAAACATAACATGCCAGTTTTAATGTCTGCTAAACTCCGCATAGGTACGTTTCTGAAGAAATTATGACTTCTCTGGAAAATACACTTATTAATTTGTTTTCTAAATCACTAATTCATGAAAACAAATCTCATCAATTATCCTTAATGCAAGGATCATGTATCATTGATGCAGAAACTGGTGAGCCAAGTTCAATCTTCAATTGGTTTTGTTCACTTCACACTAATGCCCTTGGAGAAAGCATGAATCCACTTATTTGCTGTGGATTAAATAGCAAGGTATACAACCAGTCTAAGGGGAGGAAAACTGAATTCAAAACCAGTCTGAAGAATGGGTTCCATCAGATTATCTTGTCCTAGATACACCACTGCAGCTATAGCTGCAGTACATGTGGTCCCTCTACAACACTTATGCGACTTGTGACATGACAGTTCTTTTTATCCTAATTTCAGTTGTTAATTGCAACACTCAGACTTATTTTACAGTCATTAATAAACAAATTACTTTGTATATAAAGAATAAGCCCAAGTTGAGATTTGAAATTGCATCCCATTTCCTTGTGTAGTCTCAGTTCAAGAATGAAAGAATCAAACTCAATGGCATGCCTTTGTCCAGAACAGCGAAGTAACACTTTCACCTTTTTTTAATAAATTTGTCAAATCATCTCCTTAGATGTCTTAATTTTCTCCTCTGCCATTCAATCTCCTGTCTGTTTCATAAGCTGTCCACAATGTCTTCTCAATGCAAAAGAAAAAAAAAATGCCTTCTTCCATATTTCCTGCTTACCCACAATCCATGTTGCCTCCATCTGTTAGTGAATATAATTTAATGTTGTTCAGTTAATGGCTTTATATTTTCTTTCCACTGCCTTAATCCTAAATAAGAAAAAGATTCTTTATCTGTCTCTTTCTTTAACTACACCTTGGAAAGATCTTAACAACAGCTGTCTTACTCATAAGGCCACAGCTGCAGTCATTTAAATCTAATTGTATAACCATTCCTTGTTTTTCTCAACTGCTTCATACATTGCCATTTTTCAAAATTTTTATTTATTTACAAAAAATAACATATCTAAAATACTATTAATACTACTGGTGGATAGAAATTTTAAATTTATCAAAAATATCTATGGTTAATAAATAACTTTAAAATTACAAATATAAATTGGAATTTTAAAGATGAAGTAAGACAACATTAAATATGGAAGATCAACTGATGATTTAATTCCTGTGTGAATTAGCTTTGAAAAACATACATATAATAATAACAATAATACTACTACTACTACTACTACTAATAATAATAATAATACATAAGAGACTCTTCTATTGTCTTTGACATAAGAGAGTCCAGCTGATCAAACAACCTGACTACCTGCATGCATGATTGGATTATAGTGATAAAAGCTTGTGCAAAACCAACTACACCTTTCGAGAGAACCAAATACAAAGAACTAGTGTGCCATAAGGTCTCCAAATGACCTGCTTCAGGGTTGTCCTTCTTCTAGACTGGATGCTAACCAGGGTTAAAGAGCCCAGTCTATCCTACTATTTAAGGGGAGAGGAGATGGATTCATACGTTTCCTAAAAGTATCTGCACATAAGTGAATGTAATGAACTCAACTGGATTTCAAACTTGGCTCTCCAATTTCTCATTCTGAACATTTATCCATTACACTACCTGCACATGCCCATATGTGTGTGTGTGTGTGTGTGTGTGTGTGTGTGTGTGTGTGTGTGTGTGTGTAGCAGATTATGCATGTATGAAACAAATAAACATGGCTTTACAAATTTAAATAATTTTTTTATTATTTGAGTATCATTTTTCTTTCAAATTGAAAGAAATGAATTGATTCTTTGCAAAACAACTTCACACAATATTTTGTGTATCTTTTGTTACAGTACAATTGAATGAATTGCATTAATATAGAAGAAAACAGAATGCGTCTACACATGAGAATGTGTGACATGGATGTGTGTTGTTTTATGTATGTGTATAAATTTTAGTAGTCAGCAGTATGAATAAGCAGGGAGCTAGCTTGCTACTGTTGACACTCGTAAACAAACTTAATCAGCATGTTTTGTTTTTTATGTGTCAATATCGCTAAGCATATTTTTGTAATATTATATACTTGAATAAATATATGAAAATGTGAGTAATTAAGTGTGAGAATTTCATTTTTGTATAACAAACTCCAGGTCAAAGGTTAACTAACTAAAAATTGATCATTTCTATAATGAAAAACACACACACACACACATATATGTGTGTGTGTGTGTGTGTATATGCACCCTCAGTCCTACTTTGTTTTTAGTTTTCATCAACGATCATCCTGATGACATCAACTCATCTATGCTGATGACAACCATTTATTCCTGTCTCGATAGTAAGTCTGTCAATTTCGATAAGGTAAAATTTGTGGCTGATATCAAAAATGACTCTCAGTCTGTTAACTGGTGGTAAGAATGGCATTTTACACCTCCAAAATAAAAATGCTTTCTATTAATCATCTGAGGGACCCCACTTCCTGTCTTCCATCAGCATGGTTGATGCCAATCTCATTGTGTCTTCTTGGGCTAACATTCTTGGCTGACATGACATAGAAAGACTATAATACATTGCTAGGTGACTTGCTAAGAAAATTGGTTCACTGTGTTGCACTAGATAATTTTTCTCTACAGAACCTATCTTGCATATCTATGTCTACCATTCATCCATGCTAGGAATATTGCTACCAGCTAGGGTCAGGTGCTCTGCCATATATTTAGAGATTTTTGATAAAACTCAAAGAAGAAACTGCAATATTATTGGTCTTGATCTGGCGTCTTGGCCTCAGTCACTTTCCCAATGCCATAATGTAGCATCCCTGTGCTTTTCTGTAAATACTTTTATGGTAATTATTTTGATGAGTTCTTTGCTATGGTATTTCTTTCACACCTCTTGTATCTTAGTGGTTTTACTGCACTGCTAGAGGTGAATTAAAAAAAAAAAAAAAAAAAAAAAAAATGGGTGCACACACACAGTGTAAATATTATATTTTGGGATCTTACTAAAATGTACCAAGCAAAGGCATTACTAAAAGTGTCACAGCAATCATCCTATCACCAGATGCTTGGTAAAAAAGGCATTGAGCAGTGTATTAAAAAAAAAAAAAAAAAAAAAAAAAAATAAATAAATAAAATTCAACATTAACCTGTGTTTGGCTGAATTATATTTCAGTTGAATAATAATAAATATATTTCTGAAATACTTACAATTAACAAGTTTCTCTTCTTTAGGCATATTAAAAAGTTTGTGAAATTTCCTTGTGGCAGCTTTGAATCTTTCTGTCTCATCATCAACTAAAAGTAAAAGAAATAAACATTTTTGACTTTGTAACAACATATCTTTCTTGGATATTATAGAGGAAATTCTAAAATACAATAAAATAAAGATGTTAACATTATTAACCATAATTATATATTAACAATTATGAAGTTAATATCAGTGTAATTAGAAAAAAAATAAAAAAAGAAGCTTTTGATAGTCTCATCACAAAACAAAACTACCAAATAGTCACATCAAATATAAAGTAAAAGTATCTGAAATGTCAATGAAATGATTGTGTAAAAGTTAAGAAAATTATAAAAGAATATAACTGGACATCCACAAAAATGAGCATTATATTTAAAATGAAACCCAATAAAAACAAGGGTAAGTATATATTAACAACACCAATAAACTATTTGTATTTAAATTTTTATAGATCTATAAACAAACATTAAAACAAGACATTTTATATAAAATAAAATGAAATTTATAGTAAATTAAAAAAAAAAAAAAAAAAAAAAGGGGTAAAATTTTTAAAACAGAATTTTAAAATAAAAGAAAAAAATGTAACAATACACAGTAACTTGGAATAGTTTTGTATTTACAAGGAAAGATTTTGTTGATTTACACAATATAGAATTAAAATATAAATTACTTTAAACTTAACTGCAAATGAATTAAAAGAAATTGCAGTTAGAAAATCATTTTTGCCTCCCTGCAGCATGGCTGATGCTAACCTCCAGGAGAGCAACTCATTGCATCTTCTTGGTCTCCACTGAGAAGAAGTGGAATGATTATATTGAATTAATTATTAGGTCTGCTGCTAGGAAAGTTGGTTCACGGTGTCATGTCAGATAATTTTTCTTCACCAGAATCCATCTTGCATGTTTATAAAAATATCATTTGTCCATGCATTGAATATTGCTGCCATATCTGGTTTGGTGCTTCGGCTATATGAGAGAGATTCTTGACAAAATCCAAAGATCTTGCTTTCAGTCACTCAACTGCCATAACATGATTTTCCTGTCTTTTCTATAAATATTTTCATGGCAATTTTTCTAGTGAGCTTTCTTCTTTAGTATTTCCAATACATGAATTTAAGTGTATTACTAGATTGGCAATTAGGTCTCATCGTTTACTGTTGAAAGACAGATGTAACCATAAATTCTATTCTGATGGTTTCTTTGCTTGCACTTCATGCAAGTGAAACTCTTCCGGTTTCTGGCTTTCTTTCAAACTACAATCTGCAAAAATTTAAATGCAACATCAATCACCATCTTCTGTGCTTTTGGATCTTGTTCTTTTATTGATTTTTTTTTTGTCACTAATGTTTTCTTATTTTCTTTCATTCTCAGTAACCACTTGTATCTGAGTGATATTGTCAACTTGCTTAGGATGAAAGGATAAAAAAATAAAATAAAAAAAATAAAAACATTTTTTAAAATTCTTAATTTTTTTTAACAGGTAGCAATTAATTTTATTGACAAATTAATATTAAATGATTTAGAGACTAGGAAATATAAAGAATAAGTTAGAGACCAACCATCTTTAGAGGTTTCTCGATTTGCTAAGATACTTTCAACTTTGCATTTCACAAATTCTGTTGCATCTTCTTCACTTTCAAATGCACCTAAAATAAAAATCATTAATAATTATTTGAATGCTTAAAGGAAAAGGTTAAATGAAAAAAAAAAAAAAAAAAAAAAAAATCAAAGATCGTTAATTACAAATATCCTATAAAGTATACCATTAGACATAGAGCCAAATGAGAACAACCTATTTTGTAGATTAAATAAAGGGTTAAGTTCTAAATTCCCTGAAAGTTATCCACATCAATAGTCCTCTGAAGAAGGCTGGAGGCACAATTGCTGAAATGCTGTGATAACAACAAAAATAAGGACAATAATCTGAACATAAATAAGACTTAATTCATTTATCACTTTCAAATGCACCTAGAATAAAAATCATTAACAATTATTTGAATTTAAGCACAAGGTCTCATCATTTTACAGTTGAAATGGCTAGATGTAACCCTAAATTCTATACTAACAGTTTCTTCTATCACACTTTTTGCTTGTGGAACTCTTCTGGTTTCTTGCTTTCTGGTTAAGTTTGATCTTCAAAAATTTAAAAGCAATGTCAATTGTTATCTTCTATTTTCTTAATTCTTGTTCTTTTATTGAACTATCTCCTTAATAGTAACTAACACTCAGTAACCTCTTGCATCTTGGTGGCTTTGCCTTACTTGGGGTGAAATGATTAAAATCTTATATAAGAAACTTACCAAGGGTGACCATCATATTCTGTTCCAGCCATTCCCAATCTCTATGGATTTCTTTTTTGTTATTCGCTATTGCTATAGCTGAAATGGAAGAAAAAAAGAAAGAAAAAAAAGTTAAATATTAAGAAACTTTGCATTGTAATTCACTTAGTAAAAACCTACCACTTTTTAAAATTAAAAGTCAGATGTGACAGAGAATTGCAATATTCTCAGCAGAGATTTGTAGTCTTGAAAGAGATCAGAAAAGATGCAACAGACAAATGAAATTGTCACCGAAACAACATTAGTGAAGTGATAAACTTTGTTATAGAGCAATGATTAGCAAGCATGCCTCACTTGATTATTGCTATGGTAGTGATCCTCGTAGGGAATCCAATATTGTGGTTTGTAAAAGATTTTTTTTTAGAATGGATTTTTATTATTCTGACAGATTTTCATCACTTTAAATGTTATTTTTAGCGGGTACTTGTATTTTAGTAGGAAATTGTAGGTGCAAAAAAATATACTGTTTAATAAATAAATGAAGTGCCTACTCAAATACAAGTATCCACTAAAAATAAACATTTAAAGTTATACAAACAAGACATTTTGTATTGATCACATTGTGATGTATCTGGAGACAGTGATATTTCCTTTTATTTTGTACGTTAGAGTTTATTTTAACAATTAGACACTCGTTTCAGTGAACTAATGAAATGTCTAAAAACAAAACATTTTGCTGCTTAAAGTTTTTGTAGTTCTTGTTAAAATCTACTATTTTATATTCAAAATATATAGCAATTTCATTAGATTAATATTTTCTTTGGTTTGTCGCTGATTATTTAAATTTTGGACTTGCTATTAAATTATACAATTTTTTAATTCCCTTGATAATGTGTCTTCAATATTTGTACGGGACTGGAGAGAAGGAAAAGATGAAAGAGAAAAAAAAGGCAAAGCTACAGGCTTCCTGGCTGACTATCAAGAGACAATGAATGAAATATTGAAAGGAAAGTTGGAAAGAAAAAAATTGATACATTAACATATATATATGAGAGAGAGAGAGAGAGACAACAAGAAAGCAGGAAAACAACAACAGGCAAGCAAGAAAACAGCAACAGGAAAGCAATAACAATAACAAAACAGCAAGGAAAACAATAAGAAAAGAAAACCAGAAATAAAAAAAAAAAGGAAAGAAAATCAGAGATATCTACTTAGACACATGTATCCACTGGATATGATGTTTAAGAAATAATTTTGGATTCTAAATAAAATCCATTAATTCCTTAGAAAAAATAATCCATGTTTGTATAAGATTTAGATAATAAACATGAACAGGAAACAGAAATTGAAAAGATAAAAGCAGAGAATGGGAAGATAAGGGCAAAGGAAGAGTAAAGTCAGGAGAAAATGGATAATCTTAAATTGTCAACACTAGTGGAATTTTCACAGATCGAGTACTTAATCAGCAAAATCTTAAGCTGTGGAATAAAATTGTTTTTCCTAGTGCAGCATACTGTCTGTTTTGTTTTTTTAAGAAAGCCAGTAGAGAAACCAACACATGAGAGGGGTACTGCAAAAATTCTTGACTTTTGAAAAACTGACCAAATGACCAAACAGATTTCTTTTCCATTGTATCTTGGTTATGCTGAGAACAAACTTTTAGTACACCTCATATGTACTTTTCATTACCCAATCATACATATTGTAAGTAACTGATACTGTTGAAAAGTTAAGTCAACATTGCTGATTTATGAAAAAAAACAACAAAAAAACAAAATGTTCAGTTTTAGGACAGTTACTGTTTAGACAAGCTACTAAGAGAAATGTGACCCATATTTTTTTTTTTTTTTTTTTAAATAAAGAGACAATAAATTTTCAATACACAAGAACCCCCCCCAAAAAAACGCAACATACACATTTGTATAAGGGATATTAAAACCAGTTTTTTTCAATAGCATACTCACCATAGTGCACACAAATGTAACATCTGTGCAATTGTGAGAAGTAGGTAAACTGTGAATAGTAATTGTTATCTACTAAGCTTAGTTTTGGCACAGGGTCACAAATATTGGGCAACCATTGAGGATCAAATTCACTACATAGTAATAATGGTGAATCATTACACCATGCCAAGGTGTCCAATTTAAATAACTAATTGTAATTTAAAAAAATAGAACAAACAAAAGTACTTACTGTAACTGACTTCAGAACTTGGTGTCTGATGCAAAATTCTGTATGGGGGTGTCTGAGAAACAAATATTAAAAAAAAAAAATTATATAAATTTGCATACAACACACATGTTAAAATATTGATAGAAATACATGAAATTACAATAAAACAATTTAGACTGCTTGGAAAAAAACATCTTATTAAATACTGAAATCATTAAGATTAAATGTTCATAATATTTATAACTTATGTTGTAGTAATAATAAAAAAAAAAAAAAAAAAAAGGATGTTTACTACAGGGTACCCAGTGAAAAAGCAGAAAATTTAATTTTCACTGTTTTATCTTTCAGGAATAATTGACCTTGAATAAATTTCTTGAATATTCATGACAGGGAATAATCATTCAACTCTTGTGCAGTTACTTAACCGATTGGTTCTTTCATGATTGATTGACTAATTGCTGCTCAATCTTGTAACTCTTCATTTAAAGGTTATTGATCTCTTCTGTTTTTCTTGTATGGATAAACAACTCACTGATTTTGAGCATCAAGTTATGATACTTTACAAAGAACACCTATGTGGAAATTGACAAAATGTGCAGAAATTCTTCTTGAATTTTTCAGTCACATCATTTGTCATCAGTTTTCAACAGTTGTCTCTGAAAATCACCACTTTTCTACTGGTCACCCTGTAGCATACTATTGGAGGATAAGGCTTTTAAAGGCAAGCAGATTGTGCAAATAAAGTGCTCAGTATTAAGATATACAGCATTAATAATAAATGAGTGAACAAAAACTTCAAAGACTTACCTCCCAACAGATATAAGTCCACTCTTCAGGAGTAAGCCAAATTCAACTGATTTATCTTACTCCTAAAGAGCAAACTTATTTATATCTATGAAACCGAGTCAAGTGAGAAATCAACACTTTTTATTCACTCTTATTTATACATAAAGAAATTGTATAAAATTTAATCTACAATTTTCTTTTAATTTTTCCAATATCAGAGAAAAAAATCTTAAAGAGTCATCATGTTCCAAAATAAGGTGTTTGTATTCAAGTCATAGTTGTTGATTAATGGTTAGAGAAATGAAACCATAAACTGCTGGCATTCGTCATCTCAATGACAATGAAACTATGATCAAGAATTTTTAAATAAGAGATCAATTTTTGATCCTGGTTACATTTTATATGACAATCTTGCTCTTGTTTGTTCAAATCCTTTGTACATTTGTGTCAACAGTTTATATTCTCCCTTTTCTATCTTGAATACAACTTATTTGACAAATGGACATAATGTCATAATAAATATGCAATTATTTGCATTTGATCAAATGTGACTCAGAGAGAAGAGTTTATGATGCTTTTTTTTTAATCATTTCACTCCAAGCAAGACAATAAAGCCACTAAGATGCCAGGGGTTGTTATACTATGGACACCCACATAGAATTGGAAGAGGTGGTTATTTATCTTCATGGACCAATAGATGGTTCTTTTTGAAGTTTGGTCTTATAAGTGGCATCCAGTTTGAAGGGTAATGCAGAAGTAAAGGGATGGATGCAGGGTTTTTGGCAATCAAGCAGCAACAAAACCGGAAATAGGGTATATCTAGGTGCTGGTCTATATTAACAGTCATGCTTGGGGTCAGGGAGAGCTTTGTGGGAGATGGATAAGAACATCATGCGAGAAACCCTTCATGACTTTCAGTTCACTATATACATAGACGGTCCTTCAAGGTACCTTAGAAGTGGGTAGATGCAGGGGGAGGCAGTCCAAAAGCTGTTTGGACAACATCAAAGAATGGACCAGGATAGATACTCCAACGCTGTTTCGTGAGGCAGAAAACAAGTTTGGTTGGTGGCCGCTGTACCATCGTCAGTGTCCTCATGTCTCGAGAGAGAGAGAGAGAGAGAGATGATGAGTGAGTGAGGAGAGAGAGAGAGAGAGAGAGAGAGAGAGATTCCCCGTGTCTTTTCAATAAATACATTCATGGTAACTGTTGCTTTGATGAGCATTCCTCTTTCCTACCTTGACTTTACCAATTTAAGCACAGTGCAAGATTAGGTGCAAGGTTTCATCATTTTACAGCTGAAATTGCAAGATGCAACTGTAAGTTCTATGCTGACAGTTTCTTCTTCTCACACTTTTACTGTGGGGAATTCTCTTCCAGCTTCTTGTTTTCCAGTCAACTTTGCATCTCAAAATTTCCTTAATAATGATTTTTCTGAAGATTCTTTCACTCTCAGTAACCTCTTGCGCCTTATTGGCTTTATTACCTTGTTTGGGGCGAAATGATTGGGGGAAAAAAAAAAAAAGATTTTATCCAAACCCATCATTTCATTTTATCACTCTGAAGCCACAACTTTCCTTACTTATAGATTTTACTTTATTTTTGACCTAGTTTCTATTGTTTAATAAAGTCAATTGATTCTATTGTTCAGCAAGTCATAATTTTCTGGACTATTGTTTAGAAATCTGTCAATACATTTTCCTATTTCCCTCTTTCCACCTCCCATAACATCCGACCTTTATCTAGGTATAACTATCTCTATAAGATAGCTTCATTACCTGAGAGATATTTAATCATCATACAATGGTTTTTCTACTGCTGACCTGTAAAATCCTAGCTACCCAAAAGGGAGGAGGATCTGGTTCAATATAAACGGGATTTCAATTTTCTAAAAATTACAATTTCCAATGCAGAAGAATCAGGATTTCAGGTTTTAAATTTTTATGTGAGAACAAGTTTTGACTTTGGTGGTTAAAAAAAAAAAAAAAAAATCTATATTCAATGAAGGTGAATTTATAACTTTTCACTGTGTTATTTTTAAACCATTATGCTACTGAATTTCATTCAAATGACAAATGAAAACCGTGTCTGTTTTCCTCCAATTATACATGCTTTTCGTTATTTAATTTATTAGTTTACTTATCTTTGTCTGAGCATTTATTAGCATTAACTTTTTTTCTTTATAATTATATTTCTAGCCTAACTGATGGATTGATTAGTTTTTTTATGGCTTATCAACCCTTTGCAGGTTATTTAAAGCCAGAAATTTTTTTTAGATTGTAAGAATATTTTTTTTGGCTTGGAGGAGATAATGAGTTAGTGATACAAGTCTTACTAATTAACCTATAACTAGGGGAGAAGAAGTGAATTTATACCTTTCCCAAGGGTATTTACATGCAAATGAATACAATGAACCCAACTAGAATTAGAACTTCAGTTTTCAATTAACAATTCAGAGCCATTATCTATTATGCCCCTCACACATCCAAGCTTATAACACCTGGTATTCCCAAGCAGTCACCCATCTAGGCACTGGCCAGGCCTGACATTGCTTAACTTTGGTGAGCATACAGGAACTGGTGTTTCAATGTGATGTAGCCATTAACCTCCTAGCCTAAGTGTGAATAATCGACAATGGTTATTCTAGAACACCTATATGTTCAGAATGAGTAAAAATGCACCTCAAATGATGAATAATGTATTTTTCTCTCCTACACAACTTAGGGTGATGGTTGTAGAGAATAAACAGGTTTTCAGATAAAATAGTAACTGGTTATGATTTACATATCACTTTGTCTACTTGGTGTGCACTATTAATTCATTTAATAAATGTTCACAGGAAATTATATTCATTGAATAAAGAGATGGATAAAATCTTTTTTTAGAAAATGAATGTATTTAACAAAAAAAGTAAATAAATAAAAAAAAAATGACAATGTATAATTCATGTTCTTGGGTTTCATTTACAAACAAGAGTAGCTTACCTTGTTATCCAAGACTGTATCAAGCGTTCCGACTAAAAGGCCCGTGAGACCTCCGCCTCCATATCCTTTTCTTCGTTGAAGCACAAAGAAAGGATTTGCACGTTCTGTCACCCTGAAATTAATATAAAAAATATCCTAAGTTTTAGAATCATGATTATTGGCAGAATTGCTTTAAGTAGCTTAATGTTTATCATGACAAGCATTTCAAATTTTAACACATTGATTTATTGAGACATGTTGATTATATACACAAAGGCTATTATGTGTGTAATTATATTAATAAAGTCATAAAAAAAACAAAAAAACAATTCTTGTGTGGGCATTTTCCGAGTTTTTGATTGCAGCTGTTACATTTTTCCTATGTTTTGTTTCAGTGTTTCATTTATAGGTACTAGGACATTCTTTTTAATGATAAAATGGAAAAATCCTATGTTAAGTGTTTTTTCCTTCAAAAGGACTACATCAGACTAAGTAATATATATGTAGGAGGAGGGAATGAAAGACAACAAACATTGGTCATAATTATACATCAAGAGAAATTAAATCAAGAAAACCTAAACAAGATTGAGAAAATAAACCAACCAAAAGAAAAAGAAAAAAAAAAAAAGACCAAAAAGCAGAAACTTACCTAAACAGTAACCAAAAGTGATCAACACCTACGTTATTATAAGAGAGTAAAAATAATTTACAGCATCACATAAAAAAAATAAATAAATATCGAACACCTACTTAAGTTTCATGCTCCTGTGATTGTCAGTCAACCAGAATATATATGTAAAATGAAAATTGAATCCTATCAAAAGGCAGAACTCGAGTAAGTCAATGGCCAACTAATTAGAGGAGGCACCTCAATAAAGTCATTGTAGAAAAAAAAACAACAGAAACCACTCCATTAAATTCCCAAGACAAGCCATGACTCTACAAAAACAGAAAAAAAAACCCTCAAAAAAGCCCTGAAATAACTGCATAAAGAGGATCATGTTCCTTGGGACTGACTTCTTGCCCAGTAAGGTGAGACCTGTGCAACAAGTGACCCTCCACTAAAGGCATAAAACCATAACCAGGACTTGGAATGTTAGGACATTATGTCAATGTGGGCAGCAAGAAAATATCAAGTAGGTGATGAACAGACTAAATATTAACATTCTGAGAATATGTCAAACTAGGCGGACAAATAATGGGGACTTCATAAGTGAAGGACACAACATTATATATGTAAACAGACAAAAATGACAGGATTAGGACTTGTACTAGATCACTGCATGAAGAAATGTATTCAGTGATATTGTCACTTGTCTGGACAGAATTCTTCCAAAGCTGAAAGGGAAGGTGTTCAATATATCCATTATTGTGGCATCTGCACTAACAACACAAAGCATAGGTAAAGAAATTAGTTTTACTTCAACCAAGATAACACCAAGACTCAATGCAAATCACAGGAAATTGCCATCATTACGGGAGACATAAATGCTAAAGCAGAAAAAGAATGATAAAAAAAAGTATGGACTAGGATCCTGGAAAGAGCAAACAACCAAATAACCAACACCTGGTTTCAAGAGCTTCCAAGAGACTTGCAGATAAAGAAAAGCCCAGGAGGAGACACAAAGAACAAGATGGACTACATAAGAAACAAAAGATTCAGGAACTTAGTTCTATACTAACAACTATTCAAGTACTGACTGTGGGATTGACCACCTTCCAATCATAGGTAAACTCAGAAGTTAAAGAAATCCAATTCT